AACACCATTTCCTTTGCTGCTATTCCTGTGATAGGTGGGATAGGTGTGATAGGACATCAAGCTTCTAGAGAGTGTCCAGCGGAGAGCCACAAAGATGATTAAGGGACTGGAGCATTTGTAATATGAGGGAAGACTAAGCAAGCTGGACCCGTTTAGTCTGGAGAAAAGAAGGCTGAGAGGAGAAGGGATTAACATGTTCAAGTACTTGAGGGGTGATTGTAGGGAGGATGGGGCCAAACTCTTCTCCGTGGTGGCCGGTGACAGGATGAGGGGTAACAGGTGTAAGTTGAAACACAGGCAGTTCCACCTCCATACGAGGAAGAATGTTTTTCCTGTGAGGGTGACAGAGCCCTGGAACAGGCTGCCCAGGGAGGTTGTGGAGTCTCCTTCTCTGGAGATCTTCAAACCCACCTGGATGCCACCCTGTGCCACGTGCTCTGGGTGTCCCTGCTGGAGCAGGGGTGTTGGACTAGATGATCTCTAGAGGTCCCTTCCAACCCTAAACATTTGGTGATTCTGTGTGCCCTGTTTACCAGCAGCTTTCACCATCTGTGGAGATGGTACTTCTTTCATGAGTGATCAAATGATCCTCATCTCCCATCTTTGGAAGGTTGTTAGCAGTTCTTGGCTTTGATGTGCCACAGGGAATTAAATTGTCTGTGGAGCACAACTCGTAGGAAGGTCATGAGCAGCTGAGGCAGTCAGACTAAGGCACACAGACTCCTGTGACATACTCCAGCAACAGTCCAAATTTTGACTCGAAAGTTGGGGAACTGGATTGAGAGAAGCATATTTTTGATGAAAAAGTCTTTTTTTCCATACACAAAAGTTTCACCAGGATATGCTTTTCAATCAAACTTTTGATCAGCTTTAACTTAAAATGCAAATTAAGCTCTATGCCACAGTAGATGGATAATACTAGAATATCAGTGACCTGTGAAGTGAAAAAGGCAACAAAGCATTGCATTGTATGTGAAACAAAATGACAAAAGAAATTCTGCCCAGAAGAGTGGGTAAAATTCTCTCCATCTATCCATCAGAAAAGGTATTTTGGGGGAATTTTTATGTCACTGAACTTACAGGTTGAGTGTTACTTTTTACACCCTTGTTTTATACTATCGTCCTTCTCTCCTTAGGGTGACATGGGTTCCCCTGGACCACCGGGCTTACCTGGAACAGTAAGTAAGATTGTGGTCTATAATATAATAATAATGTAAGCCTCATGCTTCTTCCTCCCAGATTCCTCAGAATCAAGGCCTTTCAAGATTCCTACTTCACAGAAACATCAGGACCTACTTATCCTGAGCATATCTCCATTAGCTTCAGGAAAGTAATATCAAAATGCATTTGATCTTTCTGAGAGGCTGTGCCACCCTCTTCCTCTTTGCAAACAGAATTCTTGCATGCTCTTGGCTAGTTATAGCAGGAGAGCAAATGGATGTTGTGTTTTCTTTAAGCAGCTGTAGGGGCCATCTGAAGAAGACATTGACTGAAGATGTTAATGTACTGTCTGATACAGTACATGCTAATGCTGTCCGACACAGAGTTTCCAGGGTGAACTAGATTTTCTCAGATTAAATCTTATAGTGAAACACCTTCACGGAGAATAGATTCCAGTGGACAATAACTTGATTTTGTGGGGTGTAATCTACCTGTTCCAAGAAAAAGTGAACGTTTCCAATTCTCTCTGACATGAACTTATTTTGGTGCTTAGGAAAGGATTCAGCTTTAGCAGCACCCTAGTGTTGCTGAGTTTCCAACTGATACAGTGCCCTGTTGTGCTGTTGGCTCAGAGTGACCTTTTAGTGCTGAGACCTGTTCTTGGACACTTTGGTTCAGTGCTGAATTCCATTTACAACCAAAACCAGTCATACCTGGTTACACTCAGCCTTTCTGCTAAAAAAAAAAAAGGACCAAGAAAACATTCCTTTATTGTTTTTTAAAGTGAGTCTGCACAGTTGCCTTTGGGAAAGCGTGAACGTAATTACAATAAAGTTAACTACAGGCCATTAAACCAGCAGCCACTGAATGTAAATACATAAACCTCACAGCTGCCTCCAGCACAAACTGCACAATTGGCTTGTAGTAAGCATGAGCAACAGGCTGCTTATTACAATGGGAAGGCTGATCCCACAGTCACAGACCCTCTGGAAGATGGCAGAGATCCACGTTTCAGCTTTGTCTGCAGCAGCTGGTTACAGCTGCCACATTAGCAGATAATGGAGTGAGTTTGAATTAAGCAAGGTCTTCAGGCTAAAATACAAAGCCTGTAGGTCTTCATGCAGCAGTACAGGAAGTATTGTAATTTTCTCCCCGCCATCAGTTGGTTCTTAGTCTGTGTCAAAGGAGGCTTTCTGTCTGTGAAGAGTCCCTGTGTATTGCACAGGAATAATCCAGCACACACCAAGGATGGATCTGTCTTGCTGTATGTGGAGAAGGTGACTCTCAAAGACGGCACCACGTAGCTCGATATAAAGATATGCCTGACTGCTCAAGCCTTCTGTGTTTGTAGGGAGGGATAATTTCTATTTTAGTTGGAAAAAATAGATGACATTTTCAGCTTACTGTCATTTCATCGGAGATTGAATCTTGTCTGATTATTCTACTTCATTAGTTCCCAATCAAAAATACTGCTTCTGTTGACAAAATTTGATCCTCTTGTGGTTAGCCCTTGAGGGTAACTATGTAATTTCTAAGATAACCAGCCTCATGGAGATATATACATCTTGTTAATGATATGAAGCAAAAAGACAATGTGCCAAGCTCAGTCCTGGAGTCAGCAAATCACAGTTTGAAGTTGTACCTTTGTTCTCTATCCTGAATTTGGTACACAACAGGAAGTTTAATGATGCTGGAGATGTCTCCAAGTGAGAAAGTGAGCTGGAGAGTGCCAGTAGCTTCTAAGTGAAGTATAGTTTGGCATTTCATAGTGGTTGGACACACAGGACATTTTTGAGTTGATATTTCAAATCCTCTAATAAATGTCTAATATTTGTGCCTTTTTCTTTTTTTTTCTCTCTTTGTTTTTCCTAAGTAGCCTGATATTTTCTTGAGATGCTTTTTAATTAACCTACAGGTGGACAACATGGGGTCTGTAATGACAATTAATGTTAGTTTTTACATTTCAATGAAAATATAGAATGATTTTGTTGATGTGCTGCTTCTAATGCTCTGGTTGCTTTTCAGACAGCCTTCTTTACCCCACACCCCAGAATTCCTGTGAGTAACAACTCTAATGAACATTAGATTTTTGTCTTTTGCATTTGGTACATACAGAATACCTTGGTTTCTTTCATGTTATTTAAGTGATTTCAGTAGGGAGCTCAGCTTGACTCTAATTCTGTGCAACTTCACTGCTGTAACTAATAAGAGTGAGAAGCAAATGGGTGTCCTGATAATAGCGGTATCCAAACGAACCTCAGCTGGGACACAGCTGTATGTTTAAAAGGCTGTCTCAGCCTTTTAAATTAAGAGTGCAGGCAGACTTACTTAATGGCAGGGTGTATTAAAAAATGTTTAGTCCACTTTTGTGGATGTGCAAGCATGTCATACTGGAATTTTCCTAATTTAGCATTAACATGCAACTGAAGTAACAAGGAAAAAAACAGAAGACAGGAGAAAATTATTAAGACTTTCATCTTTACCTGTTGAGTTACTTCTTCCCTTTGCACTCATGTTTTCCTTCACAACATGCGCTTTTATTTCCACTAACACTGTTGCCATCTACAAATGTGTTGCTATGTGCCTGGGCTTTGTTGTTGAGCTCAAAAGGATTTCAGTGCTTAACGTGTCACTGCACAGAACAAATTTCAAGCACAGCTATCTTGCTGGGTAGGATCACTTTATTGAAGCACCTTACGTGCAGTCATATTTCTGAAGGCCACTAGATGGCATCAAGGACTGCCCGATTAAGAGCTGGTCTAACTGGGCATTACATTGTGAAGTAAAATTCTTGCTATTATTTATCATATAAATTATAATATTTATTCATACCACATACTAAATATTCACGTAAATAATATGTATGCAGTTACATTTATTTTGTTTGTTAAGAAATCATTTGCAGATGGACTTTGATTTCCCAGGTGTTACAGAAATGATCTGGCAAATAGCTGATGTGAATAAAATTCAAAGTGATTTGTTCCTGGACTCTGCATTTTGACTAATCACTATTCCTTCTGTAGCTTAAGTCAGTGATGTTCTTACTATTTCTTGACTGCATAATTGAGACACCTTGCATGATAAATAATGAATAAGTAATGATTTCCAGTGCTGAATACATATGTTCATAACTATATATATAAAAATGTGAGTATTCATGCAGTGCTTCGCATATTCCAAATAGTTCCATGATTTTGTGCTGTTCTCTTTCCATATAGAAAAATCAGAAATATGGGCTTATTGATTATCATTAAAGAATTCAGAATAAAGCTGATGAACTTCTGAACAAGGAGCAATTTACTGCAAATTGATTCTTTTGGTCAATGATGGAATTGCATGAAATAACATGCTGATACTGCAGAGGGGAGGGAATTTACTTGGGTATATGAAGGTGTTAACAAAACCAGGAAAGGCTATGTGATCCACATTTTTGAAAATGCTTAAGGTGAGACTCTGAGCACCTTTTTTACCCTATTTTTACATGAGATACTTTACCCTGTTGTAGGACATTAGGCCAGTGATCCTATGGGAAGACAACAGAGTTTAGGGTCTTTGATCTTCTTGCTACTGGCATTGCATTTCAGATCATCTGTCCTGATAATATAATCAAATTTGAATACTACATCTCAGAATTGATTGAGTATTAGGATAGTAGATTCCTTAACAGCTATTTTCTGTGAAGGAAAAGTACTAACTTTTTAAATTAAAAGTTATCTGAAGTAGTATTAGAGGGTTTTTTTCATGTGGTATCATGGCAGTTCCAGAAATCTAGACAAAAGGAATAACTGCAAAGAACATGGGTTTCTGGTTTGTCTCTTCAGGGCCCAGACATCAAGCATGAGCTGCGACTATTTGGCTGGGAATGTTTGCTTCCAGCCTAATCCAGATCTTAGAGTCATTCATTGACTTCAAAGTCCTCTGCATCAGGATCTTTTAGATGAGAAACTGTACCTGTGTGGGTTGTTCCTTGGCGAGACGATCCAACCCTTTTGCATTGTCCTTTTGACTGAAGAATACCAGATTTTTATGTAATGTAGCAGGAGATTCAAATATCAGCTCTTCTTTGTCAAAAATATATCCTTAACAAAACAGCTGTCTTGCAGAACACGACTGGCAAGACTTCTAGCCCAGGAAATAGATTTAATTTCTTTCTTCTTATTTTACAACAGGGTGAACCTGGACCAAAAGGGGAGAAAGGAGATCAAGGAACAAGCGGAGAGCCTGTAAGCACAGCAAAGCTTTTCAGTTTTGGTTTTGAATTTTAACAAATGGAAGACATGAAGGCCTCCTTTTTTTTGGAGGGAAAGGGGTAGGACAGACTCCTCCTATAGTCAGGATGCTTCTTTCACATATTGAAATGCCCACAATACTGTAAAGGCATCTAGCTTTGTATAAATTGTATAGGCTAGACGGCTACCTGAAATCAGGCGCATAATCTGTAGCTTGGGGACTTAATGGCTGCGAAGAGCTCTGTGGGGATCTCTAGACAGACCTTGGCTGGTAGCAATTTTGTAAAGGCGTTATTCCTTAATAATGCTTTTAAAGTCATAAGGCCTAGCTAAATTGTAGATTTGGTTATCCCGTTTATTTTCTCTTGCTCTTGTTTTGGAGGGAGCTCTGAAGAGAGAGCCCTGTGTAGCCATAGGCACAATAAAATGGCTCTTTCTTCCCTAAGTGGTGGGAGAAAGATCTCCTTCAGCTCCTTCACTTCGTAATTGTAATCTTTTTTGCAGGGATTACCTGGTGTCCCAGGTGAACAGGGTGTCCCTGGACCTGCAGGACTTGAGGTAAGAACCAACCTTGAACAAAATCTGTGACGTAACTGGAGAAGGGTATCTTCAGTATGTAGATCACTGCAAATAATTCTTCCTCTGTATGCTAACAGCCCATTTCTTCATCACTGCTTTTGTAAGCTCAAGAGCTTCTACTCTTACCAGACATGAGGGCGACCTGAGGAGGATCAAACCAAAAATTCAGCATCCTTCTGGCTTGATGTGTGGACCAAGAGACTTCCAACTTTAGGGTCCTTCAAAGAGAGCATCTGGTGTTGATGCCACTGAACCACAGGTCTCCCAGCTAAGAAGCTACAGCACTTTAGCAAAATGTTTCACTGTGTTCAGATTCAAACCTGGTCCATTTGGCTCTGAATTCAGCATGGCTTGCGTGATATGGATTTATAGTCTGAAGTGTCTTCTGAATATATTTTTCTGAATATTTTTTTTTAACTCACACATATTCAGGCCTCTGCACTGGGGTGTATTATGACCCTTTTTGAATGATTGTTGTTCATGATCAAGAACCACAGGCAAAACTTGCACTGTGCAGGGAGACCATCAGAGTTCAGCCACAATTAAGTGTCTAGTAGGCCTGAGGAGAGGAAGGAATTTCACTCAGATGAATATCTACAAGTTTCAGCATCAAATGTTGAGAAACAGTCTTTGAACTGATCAGTCATTAGTAATTCTTCTTACATCTCAGAGCTTTATTTTTATATCATTTTCTTGCTGCATAGAGACCCGGGAGCCATTTCCTCAGCCGTTAACTCCTATGTGAATTGATTAGCTAAGATCGTTGCCTAGTGCATGCTCAGGCGTCACAAAGGCTCGGAGTCTTTTTGTCTGGCAGGCAGTTCCAACCAATTTCTAATCAACTGAAATATTTTATTTTAATTTTTTGTGCAGGGTTCAAAGGGGCAGAAAGGAGCTCGAGGAGAAGCTGGAAGCCCTGGAGAGACTGTAAGTAACTGCTTCACTTGGAGCATTTTTTTATTTTCCACTAGCAGTAACACACCTGAAGGGACTTTGGAGCAGATTTATAGTCTTGATCTGATCATGCATGTGGCACATCCTAAGCTGCAACTGGAAGAAGAATTGTTGTTTGTGGGCAAAGAGACACAGCTGCATCAAACAGATCAATGCCCCAGTCAGTCCAGCTCCTTGCTAATAAAATGCGCCCCCCCTTTTTTTTTTTCTGAATGAGGTGTCTGCAGAGTTTGTTGCTGCACTGTGATAGCAGCCAAGACCAGACAGCCATTTGGTGCAATGAGCTTGCACCAAATCAGCCAGAATTAGTTTTTGATCATGATTGGTTTTAGACTTCTTAGTTCATTCTTCATTCTCTAAGGAAGAATCATCACCAGAAGAATCCCAACATACCACTTTTCAAGGGATCTGTCACGAGGAGCACTGTTCTTGTCTCACTGTGTACTAAGGAACAGCAGAGGAGTCAAATCTCATTTTATTATTGCAGGCAGAGTGTAAGCCCTCCATGGCTACATGAAATGCCATGTACTTTTCTGTATGCAGCAAAGAAAATCTGAAGAAATATTAGAAATTGTGATTTGGAGAGAGAATGTTTGTGACAGGGAGAAAGAAGCTACAGCAGATACTGATGAAGCGTCTGAGTGTGCTGAAATTCATCATTTCTTCTTCATGTGCTCAGTGTTCCTTCTTGGTCGGTGCTCAGAGGTTCTCTCTAGCAGTGCATTACACTAATATCTGAACCTCGTGTCCCATCCCTCCCCAGCTCTCTACCACTCTGAAATGAAGAAATCTATAACCTTTTTTCTTTTTTTTTGGGGGGGTAGGGGCAAGGGAAGGGGGCAGTGGGGGCTGGAGTGGGAATGAAGACAGGAGGATAATGTCAACCCCTTTCCCCAAACTCAGGTCTATCCATTGATCTTTTTTTTTTTTTTTTTCCCTATAAATTGGTGGTTGGAAGGTAGTCGCCACTGCTCTAAATGCAGAAATTAGGAACTCTTTAATTCTCCTTTAGCGAGACAAAGGTGCCAGATAAGACATTCACTTGGTGAAGAGCTGTGCTGGCTGTGGAAGATTTTAATAATCTCTGAACGGTTTACATTTTCCTTCTGCACGATACTGCTACACAGCCTTTCCAGTACAAGAGGTGGTAGGATTTCCTCATAATCTGCTCCAAGTCAACTAGACTAATTCAGTCTGCTGATGCAGATGCCTTCAGATAGCCTGTCTGATTGATACCCAGATGGACTAAGAGTGCTGACAGAATTTCTTCTGCTTAGAAGAAGACTGATGGCGACTGATGGACCCTGGCCAGTACAGGGAGATAAGCAACTGCAGAGAGGATGACATTAGCCTCTCAGGTCTAGAGGAAAATGTCTGAACAGAGCTTGGTAACCCCAAACATACTCCTGTGCTGACTAGGAGATGCTGGATAACTCCATCTTAAAAAGCTTTCAGCCGTAGACAATGACAAGTAGTTCTGAAGTATCGTATCCTGCATGCTTTGTGCTGTTGATCTATATTGTGTAAAGGAGAGTTTTCAGAAATTGCTGCTCAGAGCAGAAAGGGGTAGAATTGTCAGCAAAGGATACTGTGTTGACCTAGTTTTTTTTTAAATGACAAATCAACACATTTTTCTCTGATCTTTTAATGTTTCAGGATCAGACCTTTCTTTCTGCATCTGAGCTAGATTTAGAATTTATTTTGATGGTGGGTAATTTTAAAGTCACAAGGAGAGTCTCCATCCATTTTGCACTTTTATCCTTCATTTTACTACAAAGTACTTCACAAAAATGCTACTTTTTGCCTTGTACAACACCTGGTCTGATCTGAACTCCAGTGTAATTTGGAGCTTCTTTTTCCTATGTTGATACACATTGTGAATTATGTAAGTTACATGCGCACACACACATTGCATTTTCTTAAAACAGGGTGCAGCTGGACCAGCAGGACCCCCAGGTCCAAGAGGCTTGCCAGGAAATGTGGTATGTGTGCACCAGTGTATTTGTTTTCCCATCTGTGCCCTGATTTCTTTGTTTAATGAGTTCAGTTTTTCAGTCCCCAGAGTGTACTACCAAGTTCAAAAGTCTGCGTTTTCCTGCTTTTTTGTTGTTGTTGTTTTGTTTTGTAATTACATCGAAAGATCTGGAGAAGCCTGGAAATGACATGTCCCTGCAACTTATTTCCGTGTTCATTTGTAGCAAGGGGAAGCATGAAGCTGTCTCATTCCGCATCAAATTTTGCAGAAGGTTATTTGCTGCCAGTTCTTGAAGGAAAAACAAAACAAAACAAAACAATGTTTATTGTTTCTCTCTTTGGGTTTACTGAACCTCATTTCCATTTGTCCTTCCTTTTGTAAACATGGCTTCTTGATGAAAAGATTGGATACTTGACTCCTATTTCTATTATGAGAGCGTGTAGGTCCTTGATCCTATGATGAGAGCCTGGAAATCAATACAGTGGCACCC